TCTCTCTTCACCCGTATTACTTCTATCACTATTTCCTAGTTTCTCCCACCTGCATTTATAACAAAATCTAAACTGAATTTCTAAACTTTCCTCCCAAATCTGTTGTCCATATGTTCATATTTGAGAAAAATCGCATCTACATTGCCAGTTATTCTTTTTCCTTTCATTTTCTGTAACTGATCAAGTTGTCTTCACCAGATACCGTCTCGTTGTCTTTACTATTACTAGAAGCCTTTGTGACTGTAAATAATTTGGCAGTTATGCCTTCCTTTCCATGCACTGCTATCTCTTTGCTACCCTCTACCTCCTCCAGTCACACTCTGACAGTCATAAAGGTAACTCCAGAAACTCAGTATACTCTCTTCAACCTCACCGTTGTCTGCTATACTAATTCAGGTCTTACTGCTTCTTGATCGGCCAGAATTAAGACCCTCCTGTGCATATATTTCTCTGAACATCAGCACATTAAAACAATATGCCAAAATTGCTTTTCTTATTCTCTGGGCTTACTAAGTTTGTAAAGACACTGTTTCTCGGCGTTTGGGGCAGTGTGTAACAGTTTCTCAGTTGTTAAGTGGCTGTCAAGCCTGATGTGGTGGTGTTTCTCTAACGCTGGTATGGAGAAGGCTGAGGCAGGGGAATCAAGAGTTCAAGAACACATAAAAAATAAATTAAAATGTAATAAAAAATTAAAGGGAAAAAAACCTGAAGGAGTAAGGCCTGCTTGAATGTTAGTAGCCCCTTCCCAAGTGCTGGAGTCCTTGACCAAAATCGTCTGGGATGTCAGTCAGTAAACTGTTAGTTACTTCAAGATCCAGAGCTGCAGGGAGACTCTGACACCATGCTTGCCCCGCCAGAAAAGAATGTCCCCTCAAAAGCTTTCCTCCCTTACCTTCCTCCTCCACAAGTACTCAGCCACCCCAATGAGAAAAGTGGCTAATGTTTCATAATTTTAAAAAAAAGTCTTAAAAAGATCTAATCTGGAAACACTTAAAATCCGTTACAATCAGCCAGGTGGCAGCCCACACCTTTCATCCCAGCACTCAGGAGGCAGAGGCATGAGCATTTCTGAGTTAGAGGCCAGCCTGGGCTACAAAGCAAATTCCAGAAGAGCCAGGGCGACATAGAGAAACCCTGTCTAGGGAAAAAACAAAAACCTTGCTACAATCACAATGACTTTCACTAATAGGAATTCTACATATACTAGCTCTTAGAGAAAACCTGATTTGATCTAGTAGTCTTCTTTTTAAATTCCCTCTGTCTAATAGCATTCCGAGTGCGTGTGTGTGTGTGTGTGTGTGTGTGTGTGTGTGTGTGTGTGTGTGTGTGTGTGTGTTGTGTGTGTTCAAATATATACATGTGTGAAGGTCAGAAGACAACTTTGGGAATTGTATTTCAAGAGCCATCCAGCTTGCCCCCAGAGCACTGATACATATATATATACATATGTGTGCATGCATATAAGTTTAAGTGTGCATATGCAATGGCTAATCTTGTCAACCTAGGTATGGCTGGGCACACCTGTGAGGGATTTTTCTTGGTTGGATCATCTGGAGTGGAAAGAATCTTCACTAGTATTAGAACCACTTTACTGGGATTGCAATGTGGACCAAAGACTGGTAACTCTCTAGGTCTCCAGCACCAGACTGAGGCTACTAAGACATCCAGTCTCATGGAGTGAGTAACTATCAGGTCCTTGACCTTTCTGTCAGGAGACAGCCATTGTTGGACTACTGGGATCACAGCCACCCATATGCATGTACTATCAGTTCTGTTCATCTAGAAAACCCAGACTAATACAACATATATTCTAGATATATGAATACAATCTGCTTCAGTCTGTATGTTACTCGTATGTCTATGGTTTGGGGGCTAGTCATTTAGTACTGAATAACCATTGGTGTGTTCTTCCCTAGCTGGATCTGACCTGAAAGTCTCCTCCCTGAGGACTAACATTCATGGTACCAAGAAGTGCCATGAAAACTTCCTAAGGAGGAAAACAACCAGCAGTCCTGCCCTGCTATGAAACATAACAATGACAGGCATGGCACAGGAACCCTACAGGTACAGTAGTGATTACTTCGTCAGTCACCAACAGCTCTCAAAAGAGGGAAATCATGAATGGGACTGGAAACCTAGTTAACTCTGCATGCGTAGTGAAGTCACAGATCTTCAAGAACTTACAACCAACCCCTGCTTCAATTAAACCAGCATCAGTCTAGTAATTCTATAGTATAAACTACATTCTAAATTATTTATCCTTCTGCCCACAGATAAGCACAGTCCTCATCCCTCACCAGCTTGGTTTTCTGAGGCAGGGTCTCCCATAGGGCTGGAATAACCAACTAGCTAGGCTTGGAGGGCCTATGAGCCCAGAATCCTCCAGTCTGTCTCCTGAGAGCTGATATTATAAGTGCATACCACCATGGCCAGCTTTTTTACAAGGGCCCTAGGGATCAAAGAAATACTGTTAAAACAGGCTGCAGATTGTTTCCCAGGTTGTGTATGAATACACATGTAGAGCTAAACATACTTTTTCCTTGAAAATTTGTGATAATGGTATACAGACCAATAGCTTGTAGGCCAGCTACCTAGCCCAGCTGAAATCCTGAGCTTCCATCCAGATTCAGTAAGAAACTGTCTCAAAAACTAGAGGGAAAGTAATAGAGGAAGATACGTGCCGTCCTCACTGTGCTCCAAATCTATCTGCACATACCACGGATCCACAATGAAACAGTGGTGCAATAGGTTCCTGATGTCTACAGAGGAAAACGTAACACTGAAAACATCTCAGAACAAGAAGACCCCCCCCCATTTGATTGTTTCTGCATTGTTGGTAATTTTTCAAATCAATAGAATACATTTTCTGGTTTGTTTTGTCTTCCTCTTCTTCTTGAGACAGGGTCTCATTCTGTAAGCCTGGCTGTTTCAACTCCCAGTGTACTGCCATTATATATTAAGTTAGTATTTACTATGTTGAGTTTATTTAAAAAAAACAACATAAGACTTGGGCTTTTTTTTTTTTTTTTTTGGTTTTTACGAGATAAGGTTTCTCTGTATTGTTTCGGAGGCTATCGGTCCAGCCTGGCCTCGAACTCACAGAGATCCGCCTGCCTCTGCCTCCCGAGTGCTGGGATTAAAGGCGTGCGCCGCCACCACCACCCGGCCAAGACTTGGGCTTTTAAAGACAGTCTTACTCTGGGCATGGTTACCCACTCCTTAAACCTCGGGAGAGAGGGGCAGGCAGATCTCTGTGCTCTTGAGTTCGAGGCCAGCCTGTTCAACAAAGTGAGTTTAAGGGTAGCCAGGGTTACATAGAGAAAGCCTGTTCCAAAAAAAAACTAAAGAGTCTTATTATATAGCCTTGGCTAGCCTGGAATTACAGAGATCCACCTGCCTCTGTTACCCAAGTGCTGAGATTAGAATTATATGTATGCCACCAAGCTCCATTCATCAAAACTTCTTAAAAGTTAAAAAAAAATCTAGCTGTCAGGTTGGTGGGTATGGTGGCTTGAGCCTTTAATCCCAGCTATCATGATTAGAAGCAAAAAGATCTCTAAGTTTGAGGCCAGCCTGGTCTACATAGCAAATAGGGCAATCCTGACTTTAAAGTGGTGGTGGTGGTGGTGGTGGTGTGTGTGTGCACACCTTTAATCCAGACACTCAGGAGGCAAAGGCAGATGGATCTGTGAGTCTGAGGCCAGCCTGGTCTACAGGGCGAGTTCTAGGACAGACAAGGCTACACAGAGAAACCCTATCTTGAAATAGCAAAAACAAAGAAGCAAAAAAGTCAGCCACACCTTGTGGCATCTGCCTATAACCCCTGCATTTGGAAAATGAAGCAGTATAAGGAGTTTGAGGCCAGTCTGGGCAACAAATGGCTAGCCTGGAATACACAAAGCCTTGTACCAAAAAGAAACAGCGGTGCTAGAAGAGGTGATAGCATCCTAGCACTAGAGAAACAGGCAAGGAGTCCCCACAAGTTCAAGACCATCCTGGTTCATATATCAACCTGCAAGCCAGCCAGGGCTCCACAGTGAGACCTTGTCTCAAATCAAAATGGGGGTGGGGGGCTGGGGCTGGCCAGCCTGGGCTGTCAAACTAGACAGTAAATCTTTTAAATCTGTCACTACCTCCGTGACTATCTCATTGTAATGTAAAAGCAGTCACATACACTACGAAAATAAATGTGACTGGATTCCCATAAAAAGTTATTTATGGAGTTGGGTGTGGTGGCTGAGACATGAGGGTGACCTAGAGTTGTAAGCCCGCCTAATCTACATAGTGCATTCCACCCAAGCCTGGAGTAAGAGAGACGCAAGCAACTCTGTCTCAAAACAAAAAAAGTGAGCGCTAAAATTTTATTTAATATAATTTCCAAATGTCCTGAAGTTCCCACTTTTTTCCTGTGAGTGGTGAAGCAAACCTAAAACTTTGCACTTGGGAGGTGGAGGGAGGAGGATCAGAACTTCTGGGCCATCTTCAACTACTTCGGAAGGCGAAAGCCATAATGGGATACATGAGACCAGTTACAAAACAAACCATCGGGGGAAAGTCGGGTTAGTTTGCCTGCGGACCTGTCTACTGCTCACACTTCGCACCCTTAAGGAAGGCAGCTCAGGGCTGCGAGCCGTCACTGACAGGAACCTGGGGCCAGGTGGAGCAGGTTGAACGTCCTGGGTCGCCGTGCTCCGCCTCCCCAGCCTGGACCCAGCCAGGGCACAGCGCGCACAGCCCAGATCCCCGCCTGGAGGCCGGCGCGGGAAGCCGCACGGACGGCGGGGGATGGGAGCCAGGCCGGCGGCCCGCGGAGCTCAGCCGGCCGGGCGCGGGTGAGGCGGAAGCCTGCCCTCCTCTCTGGGCTCCCGCCGCCTCGCTCCGTCCTGCCGTCTCCCCGCGCCGCGTTCACACGGCCTCCTGCTGCCGTCCGGTCCGGGGTGGCAGCCATCGCCCCCTTCCCCTGTCACCAACCGCTTTTACGCGTCCCGGGCCCCACTCACCTCTGCCGCTCCGCAGCCCGTACCTTCCCCAGCTACTCAACCTTCCAGATTGGCCGTCCCGGGACCTTCTGCCAATCAGCCAATCCCCGCCCCTGGCCGGGCCCAGGCTGACCAGTGAGAGGCTCTCTGCGGCCTGGGGGCGGGCTCAGGAGCGGCCGGCTGGAGGCGTGGTCTGCCTCCACCCCGCCCCCAGCCGCGCCGGCTACCTTTCCGCGTGTCTGTGCGCAGGCGCGGAGCACAGTAAGGGGCGTGTGCTTTTGCGTGGACGGTGCTTTGTGTCTTCAGAGCTCGTGCTGCGGTCACTTTTGTTTGTGCGCTTCGCACATTTCGTGTGTAGTCGCCAGTGTGTGCCCGCTGGAAGCGGCGGGGTCTTTGACCTAGCCTAGCCTGTTTCGAGCCCTTTACTCATCCCTGGCCCTGTGGGGACCCGTCTCTGTTTCCGGCCTCACATCCGGGATGCCTGTCCTGGAGAAGTAGGGATGCATGCGGTGCTGCTCAGAGGAAATGAAGAGTTTACTTTCCTGCCGTCAGTCCCCGCACCTCAAAGTCGGCCTAACTGGTGCACTTTTGTCTGGTTGGTTGGTTGGATGGCTTGGTTTTTTTTTTGTTTTTTTCAGGACAGGGTTTCTCTGTTTTGGCTGTCCCAGAACTCGCTCTGGGGACCAGGTTTGGCCTTAAACTCAACAGAGATTTGCCTGCCTCTGCCTGGGGGCTCTGGGATTAAAGGCGTGCCCCATCCACCGGGGTGTTTGCCTGTGCACGTGCTTGTTAATGAATGACTATTCTGAGACCCTCTAGGTTTCAAATAACCTTGTCGTGAGAATGTAATCTGTCTAATTAGCCATACGCAGCATGGTAATGTGTGTGGGCGCGATAAAAACATGAATATGGAGGGAAAACCTATCAGTATTAAAAGAGGCTGTTGCTCGTTGGGCGTGGTGCTTCACGCCGGTAATCCCAGCAGTTTGGAGTTGAAAGTCAGCCTGCACCGCTGGAAGGAAGCCCTAAATCCAAAACAAACAAACGGGGGTTGGGGGAGCAGCGGCTGTTGCTGCTTAGCCGGCTCTCTTACCTTCTCTTTGGCAGAAGTAGCTGGGCAGGCACTGGAGCTCTGGTGTTCTTGCCTTGGGTGGCCTAAATTCCTCCTGGCTAGGACTTCGTATTTCAGCAGAGCTTCTTTTCAGTTACTCAACAACGGCTTGTTGGGAGCCCACTTTGACAGTACAGAGGTTGTTGGTTTTTGTTTGTTTTTTTCTTTTTTTAAAGCCTTGAACCACACCCTGAGTGAGCCTACTGTATACCAGGGAGATAAAGACAAGGCTACCATGTGTGATCAAATGTTATAATGCAAGTACAAAAGGGAGAGCCTGATAGAGCATGACCAAGCCCGACGGTGGAATGCCTCAGAGAACAGTTCAGGGAGGAGTGAGTTCTATGATACAGCTTGAGGGGGACCTTGGCAGATTCCATGACAGATAAGGGTGACCGAGGTGGGAGACAAACATGCCAGGCAGACAGAGCTTAACTGAAAAGTTTTACTAGAAAGGGTAACGAGAGAGATCAGAAGAGGGAGACAGGGGAACAGGGGGGAAGAGAAAATGGGCATGGGTGTTTCTTTTAAAAGGGTCCTTTGCACCTGAGCTGACCAGGGTACTGCCTGAGTGCATTCTGCTAGGTGACAGGGGCAGGCCAGCATAATGCCTGATTCCTTACAGTGAGTTCCGAGTCTCAGGCTTGGTGAAAGCACTAAAGCTATTAAATTGAGCTGATAGGGACAACAGACAGGATTGGCATTCCTGGAAATGGTCCCTTGCTTCTGGAATACTTGTAAGATTTACTGCTAAGCCACTGGATATTTAGGAGCCCTGATCACCAGCTGTGTGACCCACAGGCAACTCCAGCTGTGTGACAGAACGTGTACCTAAGCTATGCTGAGGACAGGGAGAGTAACCTGAAAGCACCCATTAGCTAGAGATTGGTTACAACCTGCTTTTCTTGTTTTATTTTTTATTTATTTATTTTGGTTTTTCGAGACAGGGTTTCTCTGTATTGTTTTGGAGGCTGTCCTGGAACTCACTTTGTAGACTAGGCTGGCCTCGAACTCACAGAGATCCGCCTGCCTCTGCCTCCCGAGTGCTGGGATTAAAGGCGTGAGCCACCAATGCCCGGCTCTTGTTTTATTCTTTACAACTTCCCTTCCTTCACACCTTGCTTTATCCTCAAGTTGCCCAGGAGGGACCCTGAACTTTTTGAAGGTCTGGATGAAGAAGAGATGACTTAAACTTGAGCAATTTCATCACAAATTATTGTTTCTCCCAATAATGGAATTATTTCTAAGAATTTTAACCACGTTGTGTACCGTCACAATCAGTATTGTGACACAAGGGACTTATCAACATTGCTGGGCACCTGGTACCAAACCCTGGTGAAGGCAAAAGAGGGTTTGAAACACATGGAGCCAGGGACCAATCTAGGAGAAAGTCCTGCCATCTTTTGAACTAACTTTTAAGCTTTGCTTTTTGAAAGAAATAAAAATATCTTATAATAATTTTAGTTTTACAGAGAAATGACAAAGGGTAGAAGAATTCTGGTGTTCCCTTTACCCAGTGTTCCCTAATCATATGTTACTGTGACACATTTACAGAGTTAGAAATCCAACCCTCAGGGCTGGAGAGGTGGCTCAGCAGTTAAGAGCACTGGCTGCTCTTCCAGAGGACCTGGCAGCTCAAAACTGTCTGAGATTCCAGTTTCAGTGAATCTAACACCTTCACAGACATACACGAAGAGTTTACAAGTGCACGTAAAATAAGAAAGGAAGGAAGAAAGAAGGAAAAAGGAAGAAAGAAAAAGAGAGAGAAACCCAGCCTTCATACATTATTACTGACCTGGCTGATTGACAAAGCTTGAGTCATGAGAAAGGAAGGAGCCTCATTTGAGAAAATGCCTCCATAGGATCCAGTTGTAAGGCACCTTCTCAATTAGTGATTGATGGGGGAGGGGCCTGCCCAGAGTGGGTGGTGCTATCCCTGGGCAGGTGTTCTTGGGTTCTATTAGAAAGCAGACTGAGCAAGCCATGGGAAGCAAGCCAGTAAGCAGCAACCCTCTGTGGCCTCTGCATTTGCTCCTGCCTCCAATAGCCTGTCCTGTTTTGAGTTGCTGTCCTGACTTCCTTTAGTGATGAACTACAACATGGAAGTGTAAGCCAAATAAACCCTTTCTTCCCCAACTTGCTTGTTGGCCATGGTATTTCATTGCAACTGTAGAAACTAATTACTGACAAAACTCCAGACTTTATTCAGGTTTTATTTTATTTGGTTTTGTTCTAGAGTTATTTTTAATTTGTGTCCATTGGTGTTTTGCCTGCATTCACGTTTGTGTGAGGATGCCAGATCCTTTGGAAGTGGAATTACAATCAGTTGTGAGCTGCCATCTATCTGGGTGCTGGGAATTGAACCTGGCTCCTCTGGAACAGCAGCCAGTGCTATTAACCACTGAGCCTTTCCTCCAGCCCTTTTCAAGTTTTATTAACACTTAGTCATATAATCACCTTTGTCTCCTATGACTGTTAAGTTTTGAGACCTATAATCAGGTATTTTGTAAAATACTCCTTGATTTGTGATGATAGAGTTTCTGTCCTGCCCAGTACTAGTGCTCTTCAGTCCCAAATAAACACATCTAGGCTTATATTAATAATAAATTGTTTGGCCGATGGCTCAGGCTTCTTATTGGCTATATTTCCTGCCTGGCTACATTCTGCCTTTCCATTGGCCAAAACAGCTTTATTCATCAACCAATAAGAAATGTATATTCACAGCATACAGAAGGACATTCCCCATCAGATCTAAATTTGGTATTTTTTATATAATTATGATTATAGGATTTGAAGAAATGCTACATATAGAGATACCTGACTCACATAATACCATTTGACTATGGTACTTTTTGCTAGTTTGTTCATTGTCTGGATGCACTTTTTTTTGCCTCATTTCATGTGTGTGTGTGTGTGTGTGTGTGTGTGTGTGTGTGTGTGTGTGTGTGTGTGATAAGTCCTAAGTTCTGCCCTAACTTAAGACGACTATAGGATAAAGCCTCAACTCTTGAAAGGGCATACCTGAGTACAGAGTACATTACTACGTTATTTGGAACTCTAAGAAAAATTTGCCTCTTTTCCTTATTTGTATTCAATCATGAAAGTAGACCTAAATATGTATGTGTTGTTTTAAATTTAATTTGTGTTTTTTATTTCTTGGCACAAAGCACTCGTGAAGCTCTTTCAGGTTGGCTTGTATGGACATTTTGCCTTCTGGTTATGTCTTTTCTTCTAGATCTATAAAATGCCACAGTCTCATTTTGTGTGTTTCTTGCCCCAAGTCCTACAATCAGCCCTTTCTCCAAGGAGCCCTAGATCGTTTAAAGACAAAGGCTTAGGTACCAAGTAGTCTAGTCACTTCTGGAATATCCTTGAACTTAGAGCTGTGAGCTGAAAAGGCTGATATATTTTCACCATGTTTTTTTGTTTTAAAAACCATTTGATGAACTGGAGAGATGGTTCAGTGGTTAAGAGCTCTGGTTGCTCTTTTAGAGCCCCTGAGTTCAATTCCCAGCAACTACACAGTGGCTCACAACCATCTGTAATGGGATCTGATTCCCTCTTCTGGCTTGTATGTGTATATGCAGATAGAGCTCTCATATACATAAAGTACATAATAAGAATTATTTGCATTTGTGCATATTTGTATGAGTACATGGCTTACACATGTGTGTGGAGGCCAGGAGGGGACATGAGATGTCCTCTGATACTGTTCACCTATTCCTTCGAGGCAAGATCTCTCCTTGAATCAGGGGCTTGCATTTTCTCAGCTAGGCTACTTCAAGCTTATTAGGTGGGTCCTGGGGTCTGAACTCTTTTCATGATTGTACAGCAAGTGCTCTTAGCCACTGAACATCTCTCCAGACCCTTATCATGTTTATTAACTCTTATTTACAGCCCTGTGATAGCTACCTTCTAAAGTGGCCCTTACTTAGCTTCACCTCTTGGTTAACTCCTCCTCCTTGACATAGACTGGAGCTAGTAACTTAGTTCATATAAACAGAATATGAAAGTGCTAGAGGATGCTGATTGTAAGATCTGGTTACAAAAAGACCATGGTTTTGATCTTGGCTTGCTAACCCTTGATCTCTCCTTTACTCACTCTGAAGGAAGCCAGTGTCATACTGTGGGGTACCCAC